TTCCTTACTTGTTTTACTTTGCGATAAACTGTAACTTTTTTTATAATATACACACACAAGTCTTAAAAAATGTGGACTATCCCCGCTTTAGGAAATATTTTTCTTTATTCTCTTTCCTCAACGATTTTACCGTACGAAAGTACCGTTTTTGGTGGATCTAGCAAAGAAAAATCCGCCCGTTTGACATGTTACATGCTGCATCAAAAGCTTCATCCCTCGCTTTTTAATTTCTCGACAGAAGGGTTGAAAGTTTTTAGCGCCACGTTTATGTCACCGACATCTTAAGGAAGATATATTTCTGTTGCGAAATGCTTCTAAAAGTGCAAAAATACTTCGTAAAGACATTTGCGAATGCATTAGAGAAGTTAGAAATCGATAGATAAATGATAGATGATAGATGTCTGTAACAACTCAGCACGTATGTCCTTGACATAGACCCCTTTTTCTAAACGCGGTAAAATTTCTTGCAAATGATAAATTGTGCTTCGCATATTCTAAAGGTTTCAAAGCATCCAGAACCTAAAAAAAAAAAAAAAAAAAAAAAAAATTTATAAAATGTACGATGGTATACGGTATTAGACTAAACCTTAACTGCGAAGCTATACGATAAGGCATTTTAAAATAATTTTTTGAGGTCGGTAAGGTTTGCATTCGCAGTAGTTCGATCACTTCAATTACTCAAGAAAGATATACATCAATAAGGTAGCCTTAGTGACTTATTAAAATGAATAATGACTTGCCTGACCCTATGCATGTTATAACTGAGTACTTAACTGGGAAAATTAATTTAAACACGACAGACCATTCACGAATACGGCTGATTGGCTTTTAAACAGTACACTTCAAACAGAAGAAAGACCCGTTAATATGGACTAATATTCGATAGTTGAATTCATATTTTAATTGGTCGGTAACCGTACAAACCAAACACATTGATTTCCATATAGATGATCTCGTGATTAATGTGGGCAATGCTATGAATCAGTTGAAACATTTTCCTATCTTAGAAAAAAAAAAAAAAAAGAGAAAAAACTCAAAGTATATTAAAGTCACGCATTGAAAAAAAAGTATAAATGATTAGATTGTTATTAATTATGGGCCGATCTGACTAACGATTTTGGTAATTTTTCAACTTATCCTCATAAAAAGAACAAATTTCAATGTAAGGTTTTTGGCTTTCAAGCCAAGCACCAAGAACTGGCCAACATGGCTAAATCGATTTCGATACTCGCGCTGTCCAAGATTGAACATGTTTTTTACACGTTCTTTCGTTATGGACAAAAACAATCTCTTAATTTCTTTATAAACAAAAAGCATGTGTTACTTATAAAAGAGAACGAGAAGAAAAAAAAAAACTTATAGAAGATATGAGAAAAAAAAAAAAAAAAATGGGAAGACACTTAGAAGAAGGCAGAGAACATTTAACATTCCTAAGAAAATATTTAGAGATGAGCAGAAAAAATACAATATGTTTGTAATGGGAATGTATTTAGTGAATTTAATCTTTTTTTTTTTTTTTTTTTTTTTCTTTAAATTAATTTCTTGTATTATACTCTACACCACTTATGGAACGGACTATATTAACTCGATCGAGGTTGCCTAGAAGGATTTGGAACAGACCCAGATAGCAATTCTAAGCTTATCGGTTTATCTGTCCGTACGTCCAACTGATGTGCATTCATTTATTTTTATGTTCAAGCTGCCGGTCGTGATTTTGGCAGACATGTTGATGAAATTCGCTACATCGATGTGTTTTCGCCCAAGCGGAAACAATATTAAAAAATTGTTTGGATGGGGCCACTTGGTCGACCATTTGTTCTATAAATTTTTTTTTTTTTTATTTTGAAAAATAGTTACCGGAAAAACCATTAACTGTATTAAGTGAGGTAGTGTCGGGTATTTAACGGTCGACAGTAGCCGACTACAATGCTTTTGTTTTGTTTTGTTAAGTAAAAAATGCAAATTCCTTATGGATACTACATCGTTTTTGGCGAATTCTTTACACGAAATCTATATAAAAAATATGATATAGAAAACTATGCTAAACCTCTGGAATTTATTGTTTATAAAAGAGAATGAAAGCACTGTTCGCCACAAGGTTCGAAGAGTGTGACATTAAAACTTCACAGTTTATATCCTGGAATCAGATCAGTTCAGTTCAGTTCAGTTCAGTTGAGTTGAGTTGAGTTCAGTCCAGTTCTTCCGTTTATTCCGTTTTCATTGTTACTCTACACTGCCTCTTATTATATTATACTATTATTAATGCTTTTGGTTTTCTCATTTTTCTCTACGCAAGTAACAGTGACAGTAACAGGAAAAGGGCTACAAAATTTGATGCAAATTTTATAAAAATAAAGTAAAGTAAAGTAAAATTCACTGCCTAGAATATGCAACAATAGCTGGGAAGTTAATCTTGTGAATTAATATGACTTATTTAAGCCAGATAAAGCTTTTAAATATATATGTATATACTTATATATAGGCATATATATTTTGTTTACTTTGATATTGTTTTTAGATAAAATATTTTATCAAAATAAAAGTTATGATCGTTGCAGGAAAGGAAATGACTTTAATTCATTTAATTGAATCAAATAAGATTCAATGTACGCATCGCCAGTTAAACGCCTCTTAAACTGTATTCGTACTAGCCAGCCATGCAGCGAAGAAATTTGCAGCTTGTTTTTGTTTCTTTGCATTTTTTTTTTTACAAACGAGATGCATTCCGAGTGAAAACTGAACGAAAGCGTCAACAAGTAAAAAAAAAAAGAAGAAGAAGAAACGGGAGAAAAACTTTTTAGCAGCAAACAAAAGAAAACATATAAACAGCATGAAGCGAATTTAAACCGACTATTGAATACCCAACCACTTATAAGATTTAGATTTTTGATATGAATTTTGTTCATCGCCAACTTCTTGCGACGCTTTCATTCTCAAAAAACACCGAGAGTTTTTATTTTTATTTAAAGAGTTTCGTTTCGCATTTTGTTTCGTTACTTTAAACGGAGTTAAGCGGTTTTTGAAAATTTATAAAACTTATTTCTTACTCATCCGCCTCAAGCTTTGATTTTGCGAATTTCAAAAAAAAAAAAGATATGAAGAAAAACGCCAGCATCGCGGCAATCAGTTGGCGGAATTTTTAACCTAACCATGTTACAAACGTAATGCAAAAACGAGGATGCATATCGCAATGATAAATGCAAAATTTAACATTCATTCATATATGTATAAAATGCGACTTCGCCGTGCTCATGTATGCCTTTGTATATATATATATATGCATAACTTCAACAACCAGTTACGCGTCTTCAGTAGATCTTGTAGAAAAATTTGTGTTGCTGTACTTTTTCATTACCGGCAAACGCCTTGCAATACAGCACCGATGTCAGTGCTACATTCACTTTCGTGCATTTTATACCGGCCTCCAACGGACCTATAAAAATTCACAAATTTTCTTTATTTCTTTTGAAGCACCCTGCACGCAACGATCTACAAAGTTTATATATATATATATATATACATTTGTGTAAAGTAAAACTGTCGGATCGATTAAGACTGTTTACTCATTACTCACCTACTGCTGAACCTGTCAACTTCACAAAAATAAAGGCAAGAAGGTTAGAAGGCTTAACAATTTTACGTCCATATATCAATCAACTTGAAAGACGGGCATTATCAACCTACAAATATGACCTTCAACAAGCCGGTAGAAATGCTTAACCGCCGACCTTTGAAAAGTTGATCGTAATATATATATATATATATATATGCATTTTCAGGCGATATGTTTGCGGGATTCAATGCAAGAATAAATCCATAAGTTTGCTCTCTTTCGTGTACTTATCCTAATGTGCGTTCACATAATATCACCGTAGTGTCATGGCAGTACCCTTTTCAGAGCTATCATGCCGGAGAATGTAAGGCGAGTGAGGAAACAGATTTCTATATATGGGATATATATTATCAATCTTTCCGATGCTTCGCATAGCATGTGTGCTTTGCGTTTCCCTATCTGCTTTGTTAGTAGTCCACTTGTAGTTTATGCCTTTAATAGACGCTGCGTTAGAAAGGTACCGCATATTTTGAACTTTAATCAATCGTAAATAAACAGGAATTGATAACAGCTCCACTTAGCCTAGATAATGAACATTGTTTTCAAATTGTTGACCTTGAAATATCATTAAATTTTTTTTTTTTTTTTTTTTTTCTTGCAAATCAAACAAGTTTTCCTATGATTTTATTGATTTATATCGACTTTTGCATATACATAGAGATGGAGTGTATATAGCTATATATAGATATTAATTAATTATATCATACCGTTAACAACATTTAAAAACGATTTCAAATCGCTTAGGATTTTCTTTTACACGAATACCTAAAATTGTATTCTTATGATCTGCAATCGAATAAATAAGTAGTCAGGTACAGACAGGCGAACTATGCTATATACTCATATTATGTTCGTATTTTTCAAAATAAATTCTGCATAAATAATGGGAGTCGAAAATTCGACTTAAACTAAATATATTGCGTATACCTTTGTCTTGACGGACAATATTTAAATTATGTCAATCAAGCTTAAGTATTACATGCGTCTTTCTTTTTCTCTTCAGTTAACCACATCGTATGTTATATCCCGTAACGATGTACTGCATCATGATCAAAGATGGCATTTTTTTTAAAGATTTTCAGTGATTGATTTGGATTGTCTTAAGCTAGCTAGCTATTCGATTGAAAGAATTATATCGAAAATAATAAACGGTTTTATCTTTCTTAAGATTAGGTTAATTGACTTACTAATCGAGCAAATTTGGCTTTACGCCATCTATATTACGTGCAGCGATATAAACTTATCAAAAGTTAAACGCTTAAAAGTGCTTTATAGACCAGTAGTCCAATTAAGAACTTTACTCATCTTACTATATTTACCTTTTTCGCATATCGACTAATGAAAAAAACCGTAAATATCGTAAATATATTTGATGTGATTTTTGCAGGAGCAGCAGAATTTATTAAACAAAATGGTACACACAACTGGAATAGAATCGAAAACTTTTCCTCAGTATGTCGCTGCGTTATCGGCGGCCGGTGGTGCTTTTGCAGCTGGTACGCTTTTGGGTTGGACTTCACCAGCTCAAAATCGTTTAACTGGCGGTGAATATGGCTTTCCAGTGAGCGATGCCGCTTTCTCTTGGATCGGTTCAGCGATGACATTGGGCGCCGCCTTTATATGTATACCGATCGGTTTTCTTATCAATATGATCGGACGCAAGCTAACTATGCTATTGTTGGTATTACCTTTCACATTGGGCTGGGCTTTGTTGATTTGGGCCCAAAATGTCGAAATGATGTATGCAGCTCGGTTCATTTTGGGCATTTCGGGCGGTGCATTTTGCGTTACGGCTCCCATGTACACTGGCGAAATTGCTCAGAAGGATATCCGCGGTACACTGGGCAGCTTTTTTCAACTGATGGTTACAGCCGGTATATTATTTATTTATGCCATTGGTGCCGGTCTAGATGTATTCGCCATGAGTTTAGTATGCGGTGTAATACCATTAATATTCGGAGCCATATTCGTTTTTATGCCGGAATCGCCCACGTATTTGGCAAGTTGAAAAAGAAATGAAAAAAAAATAAATAAATAAAATTTCTATATATGTGATGAATACTTTGCAGTCTACTCTTTTACAGCGTTCTATAGAATGCAAAAAAGTTATAAAAATTAATTCAAATTCATGCGTTCTACTCGACCAAATTTCGAACTTGGTCTGTCATGACTTTTGCTTTTCATAAGCCATTTTTGTGGTACCGTTAAATCCAGAACACAGAACAATTGATTACATGACTTCATAAAAATCGATTCATTATTTCCATGTTGCATTGCGAGGGAGCTTCAAGACGAACGGATAGTTGTTCTGTTTCGAATAAATCTATTACGTGACAAAAAATCATTACATTACTCTCAGCTATAGGCGCGTGTAACTATTCGACATTCTTTCTATTCGGGTAATACAAGTTGAGATGTCAGACCGTAAAGTTCGAAAATTTGTGACGAAGCGTAACTATATGTGGACATACTTGAGCATCCTGTAGAATGCGTAGGAGCAGTTAATATTTTTTTTTATTGCTTTAATTATCGAATTATCTAAGTTTTTTTTTTTTTTTTTTTTTTTTTTTTAGGTCAGCAAAAGTAAAAACGAAAGTGCCATAAAATCGATTCAATGGTTACGCGGGAAGGATTTTAACTACAATCCGGAATTAGAAGAGCTGAAAGCCACTGAAGAACAAATCAAACAGAATTCCGTGTCAGTGGGCACGGCCTTACTGCGGCCCGTGACACTTAAAGCTCTGGCCATTAGTTTGGGGCTTATGTTTTTTCAACAATTGTGTGGCATTAACGCGGTCATCTTTTATTCTACCGACATTTTTAAGGTAAACGGAAGATGGAATGATAGCGGGAGTACCGTACGGTACCGTATGATACCTTTTATGTATAATTAACTGATTTTTGATTACAGGACGCAGAAACTGGTATCGATGAGGATCTCTCGACGATAGTAGTAGGAGTCATGCAAGTAATTGCTACATTTGTCTCAGTTATGGTAGTGGATAAACTCGGTCGCCGTTTATTGTTGTTGGCATCCGCCATTGTTATGGCTCTCTCCACCGTAGCGATGGGTGTTTACTTTTACATGAAAGACAACGATAACGATTCCGTTGCCAATTTGGGTTGGCTACCAGTTAGCGCCTTATGTGTTTTCATCATAATGTTCTCAATAGGTTTTGGACCTGTGCCTTGGTTAATGATGGGCGAATTATTTGCTTCGGATATTAAAGGTGTGGCTGGCTCTATCGCTGGCACATCAAATTGGGTTTTGGCTTTCATTGTAACTAAAACATTCGTAAATATGAAAGAGGCTCTCGGAAGCGGTCAAACGTTTTGGTTATTCGCTGGCATTACCGTACTGGGAGCGGTATTCGTTTTCCTCTTCGTGCCAGAAACAAAAGGGAAAAGTTTAAATGAAATCCAAACACTACTAGAGGGCAATAGCAACTCAAACCCAATTGTCGTCAATAACAGCAACAACAGTTCCAATGATAATGGTAACATTAACTAAACCTTATGGAGAATATGAAGCATTTAAAAACAGCATTCAAGAGTTATACAAAAATTTTTATTTAAACACCAACAAAAGTTGAATATGCCACCACGCGTTTGTCCCATTGATTAATTTCGATCGTATATACGAAAAATATCTTTTATACTGCCACGTTTGGCATTCAAGTTTTAAAAGGGTTAAGCAAAATGTTTTGATTTCTATATATAAATTTAAAAATTTTAACGATTTAATTTATGATCAAATATTAATCAATCAATTTTTGTTAATCGCGTAAGAAGACTTTCTTTTGATTTAATTACTATTCATACGTTTAATTCATCGCCCCCCCCCCCCCCCGCCCCCCACCTCTCTCAACCATTTGTTTGTTTAGTTTGTTGTTATCTTTTATGTGTAAACGATTTTAGGTATGCATTAGCGCCAGCCACACCATCTAAATGGGGGTGGGGGGAAAAAAAAATTATAAAACAAAATTTGCTCTAATCGTTTATATTTAGCCTGTTTTTACATTTTTTCATTACTTATTTAATACTTATAATATAGAAGACTGAAATTCTATGGAAAAAAAACAAAAAATTAAAAAAATAAATAAAAATTAATTTTGAAAATCGTTTGGCTTTCTTTTCAATATACGCCTAAATGAAGCAAGTAAATGTTTACTATAAGATATGACGTATTGTCTGACGGATATGGAAATGCGCTGAACAGCGCGAATTTTTAAAATTGCCTCAGGCATGTTTTCTACATTGCATGAATTACTATTTGTAGCGCTATCAAAAGGTTACCTGAGAAGAATCAAGCACCTCCGATAATTTATTGCTGACCATGATTTAGTGTATTATTATTATTATTATTATTCGAGTATATTAAGGTTTTTCTTTTCTCAAAAATGCCTTGGTATAGATAGAATCAGATGCAGCGAAGTATGGAAAATGCCAAAGAGAATATATATAGAAAATATATCTAGGAAACCAGATTTGAACATCTTAGTACATTAGCGACGAAAATATGGAAAAGCAAAAAGGTGGACTTGACAATCAGATTATTAGACAATCATTAAACATTTCGCTGAAGGATTCGTTAGAAACGGCAATCGTTTTATATTGAATGCAAAGCAAATATATTTTGCAATTGTACTAACTGCAAAATAATGCCTTTACCGAAACACAACTATGTTGTGAATGCCCTTTCCACAGATATAGATCCATGGGACTAGAGAGGGTAACTCGCGATAGCATTGAAAGAATCGAGCGTGGTAGCACTAATTATTGTTTTTTATTTTTTAGGTTTGTTTAGAAGAACAGATTAGGCCTATGGACGACGAGACCGAGATAAATATTTCTTGCGAGAAAATAAAAAAATCGTATTGCTTTCTAATATTGAATTTTTTTTCTAGAGGTTATATCTGGATGATGAGGCAAATTTCTTCATATGTCGACATCTTGCATGTCCGAAGCAAAGATGTTCTTTTTTTTAATTCAACATACTCCTTAGCAATGTGTTAGAATAGTGTGTCTTGATGTTCAATTTTTTGCTTCATAAATAATATTTCCTTTAAAATTCAATTTCAGAAGGTTGTGCAATTGAAAGTTCATATGTATAGAAGGAATTTATACTTGTCCCGAAACATATCTTAAAGACCATTTATCAGAAATAAATGACCATCACATTAACATTAAGCATTAAACTTAGAAAGTCTTTTGTTAAATGGACGCAAAGCCACCTACAACGCGTACAATTTACGTAAGAGAGAACATGGCTGACTTTATTTCAATCATCATCAATACTGCAATTCTCTTAAGCTAATATTCATCCTTTCTTTGTAAAAGTCATGCTAGTTGATCATGTTTATCAGTCTAAACTAAAATTTGCGTCCTTTAACTAAGATCCCATGAAAATTGAGTACTCCAGAGATCGTTCGTTCTTTCTTAGTGAAAGCAATTTACATTGTCTTACGCGCATGCCATCTTCACAACATTTTTCTATATTTAAAAGAATATATATCAATAATATGCTCCTTCTTTAAGTCCTACAATAACTGAGTCATTTATTATTTTGAAAGAGAACACTATGTACATTTGATTTACATTTATAGTATATTTGACATATTTTCGTATAGTTATTAGATTAATAAATTATCTTTTGTTTAAAAAATGTTAACTAATTATGTTAGTTGGTGTATTATCATGTTTTAACGAGGTATTCACGTTTAATAAAAAATTGTTGTTGCAATAATAATTAGAAATAAAGATTATTTACAATGGAAAGATGAAACGGAATACCTGCAGATAATAAAATTGCTTATTCCAATATAAAACCCTTAATAAATGGCAATCCGGTAGGCACTGTGTCCTGGTATATTTTATAATCATTGCGAAAGAAATTCAACAAAGTGTATTCTTCGCAATATATACGATCGTGGAAAAATTTCCAACTCACAACAGCATAAATTAGAATGCAAATAGGATTAAGTAAAATGAACTGAGTACCAATTGACCACCAAAACCAACCCACATACGATGGATGCCGTGCAAAAGCATATATTCCATGAGTTATTAATTTATGATCGCCGCTCTTTTCATATTGCACCTGAAATTGGAGATATTAACATTTATTTAGAAATCAAATTATATTTGCAAAGTTTACAGTACCAAATGCGTAAAACTAATACTAGCAGTAAATATAGCTGTCTTGCGCACAATTTCGCCAAACGTGCATAGGACAACGCCCATCAGCCAGACATAATAAAAACTTTTGAATTCAGGCAATAGATAAACCTCTAAAATGAATTCTAACCAACTGGCAGTTGCAGCAGCAGCATAAGACCATGAATGATTGAGCATAAAGGAGTCGGGTGATAAACTTTTCGGATTTGACCAGGCAATAGCTAAAAATTCCGTGTAATGAAAAAAGGCCATAAAGAAACCGTAAACACCAAATTGTTTCCAAACACAAGGCGCAAAACATATTAACAAAATACTGGTAGCACCCACAAATCCAAGAAACGAGGCTCGTATTGCAATCTACTAAAAGTAACAAAAAAAAAAACATCAGGAAGCAAATTACCCATTTGCCAATTTGAATTACATTACACATACCTGATAATCGTTTTGTCGTAGGATGAAACGTATTATCAAATTAATTAAAGCATAGTATAGCACTGGACCCCATAATACGGCTCCCCACTCCTTGGGTACTACGCCAAAATAAATTTGTGGTACCGAAGGCAACAATACTAAAGCAGCGGTACCTACAGAACAACCCAAACTCAAACGCCCTTCGTGACATAATTTATTTGTAGGACAGCAAGTCTGCTGTATTGGCGGCGTCTGGTTTAAACACATTTTGTGTGTTAAAAATTTGCGGTTTACCCAATTTATTTTTAAAACGTGTTCTTGTAATACATTTTACAGTAAACAAAAAACAGATGTTAATTGTCACAGCTCAATATAATTTGGAATTTGGAAAATGAATCTTCAATATGAAAATAACAAGCCAAAGAAGACAAAACGACAATATGAAACTAAAGAAACTTCTGTATGCGTTTCGTCACCTTTACTAATAAATACTCGTTCATTATTGTCCGACCGACGACTGGAACTAACATGAAATCGGATTGAATCAATTTAATAGTCAAAGATAAAGCCTGTAATTTATTCATATCTTTATGTATTGAAATGAAAAGATTAACGCACCGAAACAAGGATTGATAAATGAAAATAATTTATAATCTTGATCCCCTTAAGAGTTACAGTAAAGTTACTTGGAAGCAGTAATAAGCATTAATACTGAATTATCAAGTCCATATTTGCATTTGCTGAATCGGAATGCCTGGAGAAAAAAAACCAGTAAAAAAAGCGAACTAAACAGGGGTAAAGAAAATGGAGAAGTTTTTTATGAATAAAAAAAATAATACCGATGAAGGCGTTAAAATTTGAAAAAAACACCAAGCAACAATTTTTTTAAGTTTCAAAATATTACGCACGACATTCCCACGTGCACCGTCTATTTCTTTTTGTTAATTTCAAAGATTGTTTTCAACTGAACGTTTGTCGATAACACGGAAAATTCTTATTGAAATTTAATTTTTTTTTTTATATTTTCGTAATATGATAAGTCGTTCAGGAAATCCCTTCTATTCGTGTAGCGCAATGACTGACGAAAAGAAGAGAGGAAAAAGAAAGAAATATGGAGGTGGTAGCCGCAGACCAATATTATGCTTTCACCGACTCACTATAAAGAAAATTCTACCTACTCTTCTTGGCCGGAGAATAATAAAAATATAAAATCTAACAAACA